AAAAAAAAAATCCATCAATATTTACTGCGAGGACACCTCCTGCTCTTGGCAGCGTGTTAAAAAAAAAAAAAAAAAAAATCAAAATAAAAATGAATATTCTGCAAGGGAAAAAAAAAAAGCGGTTTGGATATGGGGTGGGATTTAAGGATAATTTTAAATTTTTAAGAGTGAATTTTGAATTTTAAGGCTTTTTTTAAAGTCAAACCTTGCGCTGTCGCAGCCTGGCCTTGGATGTGGCAGGGATGGGAAATTTTAACCCAAAATTCAAATTAAAACCATTTGGAATTAATTTCCCCCCCTTGTCCCTCCATATTTTTGGAAATATTCCCTTTCCATTTTTCCTGGGAGTTCCCAAAGTTTTCTTTTCTCCAGGCTCGACAATCCCAAATGTTCCCATGGCCAATTTGGTTTTTTATTTTTTTTTATTTTTTTTTTTCAGCCCGAAATATTTCACCAAAACCTTTTATTATTGGGATATACAATTGGAGAGAAAATTTAGGCAGGAAAATCAAACAATAACATCAAATACCCGCAACCCCCAAGAACCTCAAATCGGCCAAAAAAAAAAAAAAAAAAATTCTCTTAAAGCGAGTTGAATTATCAGGAAATAAAACATTCAAAGTTTCAGGCTTGGGAGATAAAAAAGAGAAAATTATTTTCTAAGCGGAGCAGCAGCAAGGAGCTGGGTAAGGGGAAGGAACGAGGCGGGATTTTAATTTTAAATCTTAAAATTAAACCTTCCCCGACCCGACCCCTCCCCGGTGTTGATTTCTCTGGAGAATTCCGTGACTCCATGAGGAACCGCTGCCCCACCCCGGCCCTCCACGAACAATGGGCCCCACCCAGGGCTCGCCGCTCGCCCGCCATTCCCCCTCCCGCTCCTTCTTCTTCCTCCTCCTTCCTCCTCCTCCTCCTCACCTGAGGGCTCCCCTCAGCATCCCCCCGGCACCGCCGAGGTTCCCGTTCGTACCCCCCGCCCTCCACCGCCGCCCTGCCCGCCGCGCCCCGCGGCACCCTGGGAATTGGAGTCCAGCGGCCGCCGCCCGCCTCGCCGTTTCGCCGAGAGGCCGCTCCGCCGAGAACTACAAATCCCGGCAGCACCCGCGGCGCGCCCCACCTGTTCCCCGCTCCCCTCAGGTGAATGCGTTATCCCGGCCGTTTTCGCGCGGTGCCGCGGTGCTTGCTGGGAAAGCGAGTCCCGCGCTGCCGGCGAGGCGCGGGGGCGGGGAGGTGCCCGAACTACAACTCCCGGCGTGCCCCGCGCTTGCGCCGCCATTTTAGGCGTTGCCTGGCAACGCTGACGCGGCGGGGGTCGAGGCCTCCGAAATCCTGGGAATTCCAAAAATCCCGAGGAAAAAAGAAAAAAAAAAAAAAATCGGGAACAGCTGGCCCAGATGTGGCCGCCCCTGGATCCCTGGCAGTGTCCAAGGCCAGCTTGGACAGGGCTGGGACTGGCTGGCATTGAAGATCCCTTCCTGCCCAATAATTCCATAATTCCATAAAGGAAACCCCCAAAAATCTCTTTTTTTTCCCGTGGTTTATTTCGTCCCCAAAATCTCCTTCCTCTGTGGTTTATTTCACCTGAAAATCTCCTTCTTCTGTGGTTTATTTCCTCCGCAAAATCTACTTTTAATGTGGTTAATTCCCCTATAAATCTCCTTTTATGTGGTTTATTTCCCCTAAAAATCTCCTTTTATGTGGTTTATTTCCCCTAAAAAATTCTATTTTTTAAATGATTTATTTCCCCTTTTAACCCCTTGTTATTTTGCATGGGGATGAAGGGCAGCACCTTCCACAATCCCAGAGTTTTCCCATTTCCTTGGAGCACAAATCCCTTGAAATTTGGCATTTCCAATTTAAATTTCCTGATTTCCCTCAGGGCTTTTTTTTTTTTTCCTGGCTAAAAAAAAAACATAAATAAATAAAACTTCAAAAGGCCTCATTTAGATAAATCTGGAGCTGCTCCTCACCTTTATTTTGCCGGTTTGAACACGAGGAAATTCTGATTTTCCACTTTAATTAGCACAGAAAAGATTCCTGGAAATTTTGGATGTCTTCCCTCAATTTTTTTTAATACTGAAAATCGCAAATTATAAACAAAATACGGATTGGTTTTGTCAGATTTTTCTTTTTTATTGCCTCAAAATGCAAATATTTGTAGAGGTAGGAGGTGAAAAACCCCATAAATATTCATCAAAAATGATAATTATCCCAATTAAACTAACGAGGTTTCAATCTTGCTTCATTTCCATGCCTTTGTAAATATTTGTATTTAAAAAAAAAAAATAGGGAAGGAGGGAGAAAATGAGGTGGGAAATCACTTCAGAGCTTCAAAATTAATTCTAGAAAATTATAAATATAAAAAAACCCCGATCCATTGAAACTCAAGAAATGAACGTGGAAGTTTTTAAATTAAATTTGAATTAAAGTTTTAACGCTGCCAAAATCAAATGGCAAAGAAAGAGAAAGAGATTCCCAGGGATGGATTGAGTTCCATTCCAGGAATTTATTAAAATTTTATTAATTTAGTGAAAATTTTCCTTTTCATTTGCCTGGATAGGCACAAAAAAAAAAAAAATCCTTGTTTTTCAATCCAGGAAAATTCCCTGGGATCTGGGCAGGAGCACAAGAAAATTCATTCCTGCTTTTCCAGGATCCATGGGAATCCTGAACCCAAAAAAAAAAAAACCCAAAAAACCCCAAAAACCAAACCAAACCAAACAAAAAGAAATAAAATAAAATAAAATATAAGAGAAAATAAAAACAGGATGAGGATTCCTGGAAAAGCAGGAATGAGGAATCTTTGGGATATCAGAATTCCCATGGATCCACATCTGGAAAAGCAGGAATGAGGAATTTTGGGGATATGAGAATTCCCGTGGATCC